CCCAGAGGGGATGGCCACATTGCAGTCTTCTCTGTTCTCCTCTTGGAATTGTGGGCATGCACGCACATGCACCTGGTGTGATTTTCTTTTTCTTTTCTTTTTTCTTTTTTTGGAGAGGTTTTTGCTATAGGGTGCGTGTGCTCGCCAGAAAGACAGAGAGAGACAGAGAGATAGAAAGTGAGAAATCACCCCCCAGAGGGGATGGTCACGCCACAATCCCTTCCCCATTCTCCTCTCGGGATCTTGGGCATGCACGCACATGCACCCAGCGTGAGTTTCAAGCCACCGGGTCCGGGACGTGAACCGCGGGTGACTACGTGGGAGTCCAGCGACATAGCCGTTACGCTAACTGCTGGTTCCCCCTGGTGTGATTTTCAAGCCACCAGGTCTGGGGACTCAAACCATGGTTGACCATTTGGGAGTCCAACTTCTTAACCACCATGCCACCTGCTGGCCCCTCTTTCTTACTGTAATAAACGTTACAGTTTATATTTTATACTTCATGTAGAGGAAGTTTTAATGGTGTTACTTTCATGCTCAATGCTTACACAAAATCAACAATGTGATAATGCACTTTGTGGAGTCAAATTTGCAAAACAAAACAAAAGAATCCATAAGACAAATGAGAACCCTGAAAGTCTTTATACGGCCCATACCTCCCGTGTTGGAAGTGGTGCAGAGACGGAATACACAGCACAGATTCTCACAGATAACGCCGACAGTGTAAAACAGTGAAAGCCCACAAACCCATTTCCCAGAATTCAGCTTTCTCTTCCCTTTTTTCAATGGGAATCGCTTTTGTCAGGACTCCAGCTTTAGGGATTTTAATCTTTGGGGTTACAAGTTGGGGTATTAAACGTGAGCGTCTATAGGTTTCAGAGGTTTTGACCTTTGTGGGCTCCGCACTGGGGGCTATGGAACAGGACTGCCTTAGGGACTCCTCAGTGCCACTCAGGCTCTCCGTGGGGACTCAGGGGATCCGAATGCCCCACCACGGGACACCAGGTGGCCAAGCAGCCTGAGCTCCCGGCACCCACAGCCCCGCGGGCTGGGGCCGGAAGCAGCTCATTGGATGGAAATGGGGACTGAGGGGCTGAGCCTGGACGGGTCCAGCAGGTGCAGGAGGTGGCTCCGACCCTGCTGCCCCCGCTGCCTGCTCTTGGCCACGCCTACTGCTGCCAGGGTGTCTTTGCAGCCAGTTGACTGCAAAGAAAACTCAAGCCTGGTTGGCCGAGGGGGCCGATACACCGGTTCCTCGTGGAGGTGGGCAGCTGTGGCACCGCAGCTCAGGGGTGACTGAGGGACGGCAGTGAAGGGACACGTCCTGGGACAGGACTTTGAGCTGTCTGCTCTGTCCATACCAATTTATAGAGGCTCGCTACCATGCCACTCCCTGGGTGCCTGGAAGACAAGATCAGAGCATGGTGACCAGGAAGTCCGGGGAGCCTGTGGGCGTGCTAGAGAGGCCCTGTGCCGTGTTGCCCACCAGGGCCTCCGCTTCAGGAGAGACTTGACAATCAGAAGAAAGAGGGCCGCTTAGGGCCAGCTCTGTGCGCCATTAACACTCTGCTCCAGGGAAGCTGGATCCCGCACAGGCCCGCGGTTCAAATCCCCATCACGGCCAGTGCCCTGGGCGCATGCCCGAGTGTGTGGGGCCTGACAGGCTGGGGCGCTGAGAGGGAGCAGCATGGCCGACTGTGGGAGCTTCTCGCCTCGCCTCGCCTCGCGTGCATGCTCTGTCGTGAATAGAGGAAAATGTTTTTATGTAAGTGATAAGATTTTTTTAAAAGAATGAAGTCTGGGGGCCAGCAGGTGGTGTGGTGGATAAGGGTGCTGGATTCCCACACCACGGCTTGAGTCCTGGACCTGGTGGCTTGATTTCTGTCTCTGTCTGGTCAAATTAAAAATAATAACAACAACAAATGGAATTAAATAAATAGTTCTTAAAAAAAAAAAAAGAATGAAGTCTGGGAAGATGTCAGCAGCTCCGTATTAGTGCCTTGGGGCGTGGTAACACAGGACCACACGCTAAGCCTGACAGGGATGTTCGGAGGCCTGAACCTGTCACCTCGCTGCTTCCTTCCAAGTTCTGAGGAGGAACCTGTGCAGGCCCGTCCTGGCTTCTGGTGGTTTCCCGGCAGTCCTGGCCTTCTGTGGCTGCAGAAGCACGGCCTGTCTCTGCCTCCATCTTCCCACGGCATCCCACCTCGTGCTCTGTCTCCAAACTCTCCCTTCTTTTTTAATGGCTTTTGCCATAGGGCACATGTGCTCACCAGACACGAGAGAGGGAAAGTGAGAAATCACCTCCCACAGGAATGGCCACACCGCAATCCCTCCCTCCATTCTCCTCTCGGGATGTTGGGCACGCACACACACACGGTGTCAGTCTCACGCTGCCAGGTCTGGGACTGTCTCAGCCACCACGCTACCTGAGGCCCCTCTCTTCTTTTTTATTTTTATTTTTTCGAGAGTTTTTTGCTATAGGGTGCGTGCACACACCAGAAAGACAGGAAGAGACAGACAGAAAGCAAGAAATCACGTGTCCCCAGAGGGGAAGGCCATGCCACAATCCCTTCTCCTCCATTCTCCTCTTGAGATCTTGGGCACGCACGCACACATGCCTGGTATGAGTTTAAGCCACCAGGTCTCAACCCACCAGGGCTGGGACTTGAACCCCTGTCAACTACATGGGAGTCCAGCAAGGTAGCTATTACACCATTGGCTGGTCCCAGGAAGAGAGAAAGCAAGCCGCCAGGTCCAGGACTCAAACCATGGTCGGCTATGTGGGAGTCCAGAGCCTTTAACTACCACGCCATCTGCTGGCCCTTCTTCTTTTTTTAAAAAAAGAATTATTTTACTTAACTTTATTTTATTTATCTAATTTTAATTTGACCAGAAAGGGACAGAGAGAGAGAGAGAAAGAGAGGGAAAGTGAGAAAGCAAGCCACCATGTCCAGGACTCGAACCGCAGTCAACCATGGGAGTTCAGTGCCCCTAATCACCACTGGTGGTGATGCCACTTGCCAGCCTCCCTTTCTTCTTTTTTAATCCATCCCTCTGGGGGGAATGCCCACACCACAACCTCTCAATCTGTCACCTCCGTTCTCCCCGTGGGATTTGGGTGGGCACACACACGTGCCCTGCATGTGTTTTACGCCAGCAGGCCTGGGACTCGAACTGCAGAGTTGGCACATGGGCCCCAGCTGCCGTCACCTCTGGCCCACTGCTGGCCCGTGAGCTCCCCTTTTATAAGGACACCAGTCACACTGCACTGGGACCCATCGAGGGCCTCAGACAACTTGCTTGCCTCCGTGGACGCCCTATCTCCAAATCAGGTTGCTCTCGGAGTACGGTGATTTGGGAATATACAGAATGTCATTTTTAAGCTGCCAGGTCCAGGACTCGAACAGCGGCCAACTATGTGGGAGTCCAGTGACGTGACCATTATGCCATCTGCTGGTTCCTTTTCAGTTTTTATAAATATTGCCAGAGGGTACATATACCTGCCAAAGACAGAGAACCCCCAGTGGACGTGGTCAGCTGCACTCCTCTTCCCTCTGGTTCTCCGTCCGGTTGGGATTTCAGCAAGTACGCACGTGACCCAGCGTTTTTCAAGCCACCAGGACCAGGACCGGACCCTCGGTTGGCTGCTGCACAGCGGGCCTCTGGTCCCACTTGGAGCTCTGCCTATTCAAAGGTCTTAGCCCTGAGGGGAGCAGCCTTCCTCCGGGACACAAGTGAGTTTAGACCACCGAGGGATGACGCTGCCACCTGGCCACAGGTGACTCAGGATGGCCTGGAAGCCAAAGGCCTAAACCGTGGCTGCTCTTCCCACTGCAGGGGTGAGTGTGACTGCTGGGGGGCTGCTTTGACACCCTGCCGACGGCCCAGCCAGGACTAGGTCTGAGCGAGCGTCCCTCGGCTGGCATAGCTGCAGCAGGGCTCCTGCAGACTTGGTGACTACACAGAGGTGGGACAGTGAGACCGCACCCTGAGGGGCATGTCAGCCCCTCCAGGTGGGTCATCAGGGAGCAGCCTCCGCAGGCTGAGGTCCCGGGCGACAGGAGAGCCGGGTTCCGGGAAGAGGCTAAGTGAGGGGTGGGCAGCCTGGATGTCAGGTATGGGCCCGACCCAGGCAGCACGAGGCTGTCACAGATGGCTCTGTACCCTTCCCTTGCTGCGCTGTGCTGTGCTGTGTTCACAGGTCCGATGCATTAGCACGTACATGGGATGGCTCTGTCCTCTGTCCCTGCACCCAAGTGACTCACTCCAGCCCTGACGCAAATCCTTCTCCCGACTGGGTTTTCCCGGAGAGTTACTTAGGTAGAACTACAGCAGGTGGGGCCAGCGATCGGAGACCTCGCCCCCACCTGTGGGGCAGGAACAGCGCCAGCCTGGGGGAGTGGCCCCGCAGGAGTCACTGCCACAGTCCGAAGACCCCAACCTGTGCTGGGAGCTCTGTGCCCGGCGCTTTCAGACCTAAGTGTGCCACCCTTAGTCAGCTAGCGTTGTTCTGGGGTTTGGGGCGGGTGGAGATTTTGCTGTAGGGTAGTGCTGGTGCACTCAGGCAGACAGGGACAGAAAGCAGGAAATCACCGTCCAGGGAGGACGGCCATCCTCTCAAGATTCGGGGCATGCATGAGCACATGCCCAGCATTTCAAGCTTCTGGGTCCAGGACTCAAACCGTGGTCGACCATGTGGGAGTTCAACGCCTTAACCCCTACACCACTGGCTGGCCCTGGATCCCCAATTCATAAGGGAGGAAACTGGTTCAGAAAGGCATCCACCACCCACCACCCACCGCCATGCCCTGCGGCAGGCCTCGGACTCAAGCTCACAAGGGAGAAGGGGTGGACCTTCTGCCCTGGCACGCGAGGCCTCCGGGGGCCGGAGGGCTGGGGAATGGGCAGAACCAGGGAACCCCAAGCAGCAGAGGGAGAAAGTCACAGAGGATGCCCCGTCCAACCCCTTTGCACTCCCCCAATAAACCACTGGGTCGCCACTTTGAACAGCTTTATATCAAGGTACAAAACTCCAGATCCTGTCCGGAGTACACACGTACAAAAGCAGTACTATTAAAAATAGTATTAATAATATTAACCTCAAACACACTAACTCATACAAATGTGCAAAGGCTTGTGCGTGGCTGACTCCAGCCAGTTCCTGGCCAGTTGGTAAGGCAGTACCTGGGGACAGGGACAAGCCTGAGAGCTCTCCAACCATCAGCACCCCCAGAAGCTGGGCCAGGGCCGGTGCTGAGTTGAACTGCCCCCCTTTCGCACCGAGAGGGACCTTTCAAGCCCAGAGAGGAGCAGGACCTTTCAAGGAGCAGAGGCCTGGTGGGCACACCCCCTCTGTTCTCCTCCTGTAGAGAGGGACATTCTCTAAAGAACAGGGTGGATGGCAGTGGAGATGGGCAGGATGGTGACATCCTGGGGACAGCCCCCCTTATTCCGGAGCCCGTTACATTTCATGTAAGTAGGAATTACAGTTGCAGATGGAATCCAGGTTGCTGATCAGCTGACCTCAAAACAGGGAGAGGGCCTGGGACCCCCTGTGTGGCTCTATGTGGTCAGGCCCCTACCTGTAGGTCAGGGAGCGGGGAGAGCGAATCCCAGTGGCATGATGTAGGAGGATTTGGAATGCCATCGGGCTCGGAAAACTGGAAGAGGCAGAAAATGACTTCTCCCCATGGGCCAGAAGAGACATTCTGCCGACACCTCGATTTCAACCCCGTGTCAGACCCCCAACCTGTAGACTGTAAGTTCTTGTTTTAATCCACTAAGTCTGCAGAAATTTGTCCCAGCAGCAAGAGGATACTAAAACAGACATCAAAGGATCAGAGGTCGAGCTTGCCCTGCCCTGCCCAGGCCTCAGCCTGTCTTCAAGGGGCACTATGAGCCCAAGGCCCAGGAGGTATGGTAGACACTGGCCTTCCGGGACTACCATCAAGTGGAAGGCCTTGAGGGGGAGTGAGGGGTCAGGGCTGAGCTCCAGGAGAAGCCTGGAGGGTCAGAGGCAATTCAGGAGTGGGCTCCGCGCTGGCTCTGCCCCTCGCTCAGCAGGGCACCTCATGCCTTTCCAGGCCCCGGGAAATTGATCCTTGCTTTCTCTTCCTTCCAATTCTATCTTTGATCATAGACTCAGGAGCCCAGTCCATAGCACCCCTGAGCTGAAGGAGGCAGGAGGGTGAGGCGCGGCTGCCGGTCCCAGAACTGGCGAGGGCACTCAGACCCCTCATGAGGAGGACAGTTAGGAGACAGAGTCTGCACGAGCCCCTGGCCCCGACCCCTGGCCACACTCCCTCCTGCCCTGTCCCTTCAAGCACGCATCATCGACCATTCCCTTCTAGTCTGCAGCCATCGCCCTGTCAGCTCCCGAGGTGGGGCTCCCGCCCCAGTGGACACACAAACCAGGGTCTGTCCAAGTCCAGTGTCCGGGTTTGCGCCTTGGTCAGGGCTGGGCCTCAGCAGCAGCAGAGCGCAGGCAGCCAGTGAGGGGCTGTGGAGCCAGTGCCAGTCCAAATAGCCCAGAGGGTGTCTGCCCCAAGGGCAGCTGCACCAGATGCTCATGGGACGCTCGCAAGCTGGTCAGGCCGCGGGAAAAGCTAGCCAACCTTTATGAGCGAGAATAGGGCCCTGGAGGGCTCCTGCAACCCCGAGCTGACGTCCAGGATGCTCCGGATGCCCTTGACGTCACTGTTCGAGAGGTTCCCCTTGATGGTGAGGATGGCACTCAGGTGGCCTTTGCTGGGAAGGAGAGCACCCGTCAGCCCAGGCAGCCCCAGCATCCCACTCACCCGTTCGCATCTCCCCGGGCTCCTGGCCGGGTCGCAGGGCTCTGAGGCCGACATCTCTCTGCTAGGGGAGAGGCTGCCATGCTGCTCCAGAGCACTGAGCACCTGTGGGTCCTGAGAGCATGCCAAGCTCCTGCCCACTCAAGCCTTTGCCCTGGTTGTTCCTCCTGCAATGCTCCTTCCCACCCTTTAGGTCTCAGCTAAAATGTCACCTCCTCCAAGAAGCTTTCCATCTCTAAAGTCAGCACCTCCTTATTAATCATGACCTTGGTCAGATGCAATTACAGCTCGCACTTGTACTGCTCTGCCCGATTACATTATCGCTGGCCCTCACGGACTGGAAGCTGCATGAGAAAGGACTGAGACCTGGGCTGTCTTGTGCTGCAGTCTGGCACCCAGCAGACTGTAAGTAAGTGGTGGATGGATGGACTGGCGCATGGAGCCTGGGTGAGTGGAGGTAGGCAAATGATGGGTGGGTAGACAATGAATTGATGGATGGCTGGATAGACGGGTAGATGATGGATAGATGACAGATAGATAAATGATGAGTACATAGGTGGGTGAATGGATGGGTAGATGGTGGATAGGAAGGTGGGTGGGTGGACGAATGGATTGATGGATGGATTTATGGAAAGATGAGTGCATAAAGAGAAGGAGGGGTAGATGCTGGATGGAGAGATGGATAGACAGGCGGCGGAGGGGTGGATGGATTGATGACAGGTGGATGGATGTATACATAGAGGGATAGGTGGGTGGGAGATGGATAGACAGGCGTGGAGGGGTGGATGGATTGATGACAGGTGGATGGATGTATACGTAGATGACAGGTGGGTGGGAGATGGAAAGGTGGGTGGGGAGATGGATAGACAGGCGGCGGAGGGGTGGATGGACTGATGACAGGTGGATGGATGTATACATATATGATAGGTGGGTGGGAGATGGATAGGTGGGCGAGTGGACATGTAGATGGGTATATGAATACATGGATGGATGGATGGATGGATGGATGGATAGATGGCAGATGGGAGAATGGATGGCTATGTGGGGGTGGATGGATGAGTGGATGGGTGGATGAATGGGTAAGCAGATAGATAGACAGAAGGATGGATAGACAAGGATGGATGGATGGATGGATAACTGAGGGATGGGCAGATAGCGGGGGGACGATAAGGGATGGATAGATGGATAGATAGACAGATAGGACAGCGAGTGGATGGCTGGGTGAGTGAGTGGATGGGGGAAAGATGGGCAGAGGAGTGGATGGGTGGATGAATGGGTAAGTGCAGTAGACCTGCCAGAGGCTGACCTAGGGTAAGCGGGCTCAAGCCCATCAAGGCTCATTCAGACTTTCTCTACCATGTCAGAGGACCCAGCCCAGAGGGAAGCAACATTTCTGGCTCACGAGCTCCTCAGGCAGCCAGGGGCTTAGCTTCTGCTCCCAAACAGGAGCCCCAGGGCCCAGGCATGTGTCAAAGGCCCTGAGGGCCCCCAGGCTGAGTGGTGGACCATGGTACCTCGGGTCTCAGTTTCCCTTCTGAAACAGTATAGTGCAAGGTTAAGAGTGAGGGCTAGGGGCCAGACTGCCTGGCTTCGCCCTCTCAGCACTACCCTGGGACACATGCCCTAAGCTCTCAGGGCCACATCTGCAAGATGGAGACAGTGTCAGCTTTAGCGGGCCATAGTGAGGAGCAAACGCGAGTCCCCAGATACAATCTTAGCACGTACTGAGCACACAGCCAGCACCTGGCCAAGGTCAGTGGCCACGGCTGCATCCCACAGAGCATCCGTGCTCGAGCGCTCCAGCCTGAAGGGGCTGACTCCTGCCCCACTGTGTCAGGGGCCCCTGACCACAGTGGGTCTGGCAGTGCCGTGCCAACTGCTCAGGACCCGAGGTGCCCCCGTGCTCACCTGAAGTCAGGGTAGCAGGTGGCATAAGTGGCCACCTCCACCTTGATGGCACTGGGGTCCTGTAGGCGAATGACCTCGGCAAGCGTGGGGAGCGCGGGCTGCAGCCAGGTTGCAGAGGAGCCCTGCAGGCGTAGTTCTGGTTAGGGAGGCAGCTCCACCTCCACCCCCAGGCACCCAGGGGCCCAGAGACTCAGGTCAGTAACCCTAAGGGGCTGCGCTGGACCCTGAAGGGACGGGGGGAGCAGCAGCAGCTGTCCCAGGGCGCTGGGGCAGGGCCTCACGTTCTGGGTGCAGAAGTCCTGGATGGCTTTGGCGTTGGCCAGGATGTGCTTGGCCAGCTGCTGCTGCTGCTCGGCCGTCTTGAGGACCAGGCGCCGCTTGCTGAGGCGGATGATGTACTCCTTCACCAGGTGCAGGTGCACCGCTGCCATGAGCTCCTGGGTGGCAAGGGCCAGGCAACTGTGAGCCAGCGGCCACCAGGGAGCGCTCCGCCTCCCCTGAGGCTGCGAAGCCAGGAATCCAGAAGGGGCAGATGCCAGAGCAAAGGCGTGCACCAGTGCGTGTGTGAGCATGTGTGGGTGTACACAGATGTGCGTGACCGAGCTGCCCTCTGCTCCCAGGCCCAGCCACCAGCCGCAGCGCCTCCATACCTGCCGGAAACAGTCCTGCAGTTCTGAGAACTCAGGCAGCCTCCCGCCCACGGTGGCCATGATCTCCTCCAGGGTTTCCTCTGGAGCTGCCCAGCGCGTCTGCGTGAACTTCTTGAAGAGTGGCTGAGACAGGAGGCAGGATGTCAGGGCACACCCTGGAGAGCAGGGGCCCCCAGCTGCAGGCATGCACATGCACACGCACAGCATGTGTGCCCTGCAGGAGGGACAGGGGCACGCCAGGACTCCAGGGAACCCGGGCAGCGCTTCGATCCCGTTCAGACCGGAAGCGGAGGCAGGCTGTGCACCCTTCTCCAAGGCCGTCGAGCATGCTCAGGAACTGGGATGCCCGAGGCCCTTCCCACTGCTCCCCCTCAGATAAATTCCTGCATAAACAAGGCCTTATGCTTGGCTGAGACTTGGGCCAAGTCACTCTGGGTCAGGCTGGGGCCTTCACTGTTGCAGTCAGCCCTGGCCTTCAGTCCTGGATGCCGGGCGGGGAACTCTCTTCTTCCTTTGGAGGGCCTCGCTTCAGCGCTGAGGCCTTCTCTGCCCACAGCAGACGAGACCCCAGCCCTGGGCATCGAGAGCTGCAGCTGGGTCTGGGGACTTGGGCAGAATGCAAGGTCTGGGGTCTAGTGCATGTGATTTCAGGGCCTGGACTGGGTCAAGATGGGGGAGAGACACTGCGACTGCTTCTCTGGGCCCTCCCAGCCCCACGATCCTTCTCAGGCCAGGCCCCAGGTAAAGGCAGTGGAAGTCAGGATCCCTGTCTCCCCCTGGGCTACGTCCTGGGCCCCACCAGCCTACAGCTGACCCCACCCACACTTTCTCCAGGCTGGACCGTGTCCCCATCCTTCTACTGCCATCCCACGCCAGTGTTTCCCAAACTCTGGGCCTTTCTGCACTGGCTCAGGACGCTTGGAGGGGAGGTCCCCACTACCTTCAGGTCCACAAACAGGCTCTGCAGCAGCGTGTCAAAGCCATGGTTCTTGAGCTCATTCAGGGGGTCAAGCAGGTGGCTCGGGGGAGCCTGTGGGAGCTGCCACTTCTGCTCCATGGATGTCCTGGGGAGACAGAGGCAGGGAGGTCAACCAGCACTACTCAGTCTACAGCCTCACACCCAGGGAGCCCTTTCCTAAGCCATCTCTCACTCTAGAACCTTCAGTGGCTCCCTAGTCTCTATGAAGTTCCCTATGAGGTCAGGTCCAAGTCTTCCCATCTGTGCTGTGCATGCCCCAGCACGCAACTACGTCACACCTCCTCCTGACCACGGGAAGTGACGCAGCCTCTCCACACCTCAGTTTGCTCCCACTCTTACTGGGCATGATCCCTGCTTTGCCGAGCTGTCAGAAGGAGAAAGTAACAAGTAAATGTTTGCCTGGCCCAAATAACACTTGATAAATGCCTGGTGCTGCTCCTGCACGCCTGGCCACCGTCCTGCAGGCCTGGCTCATTGCACCCTGCCATCCTTGCTAAGGCAGCAACTCCCCGCCACCACCCAGCCTCTCCCACAGACAGCAGACCAAGTGATTCCCACTCAGCGAGCCCCTCCCAGCACCTCACCGGAAGGCCAGGCAGCTGTTAATGCTGGCCATGATGTTAGCCCTGAAGTTCCGCAGGTGTCTGCCTCTCTCCAGAAATTCATCGAAAGTACGCTGGTAGCTGGTGGAACCGGAAGGGGCACGTTCAGGATGGGGATGACAGCAGCCTCCCAGCCGTGGCCCCGGGAGGGCCCCAACAGCGTGCCAGCCCAGCTCGAATGCCCCAGGCCCCTCCACAAGGGGCCTTGCAGTCTGGAGGGACAGAGAGACCTCTCCATGACACTGGGGGGTCATGATGGAGTGGCAGGTCTCGCTCCTTTTGGAAACTTTTCCACTGAAAGCTCTGCTGATTGGGGTGGGGCAGGGAGCCCAGTGGGGGTCGGGCCACCCGGCCGGGGCAGGGAGCCCCACGCTGTGGCAGTGTAGGTTGGACCCCCAAGGCAGGGAGCCCCACATGACGGCAGAGGAGGTAAAACAACCTGGGTGCTCAGTGCCCAGGGGGTGTGCCGGGGGAGGGACTCCTGACTCAGAATGAGTCAGTCAGGGGCAGGGAGGGGGCTGGTCCCCTTGGGTGCCCCTGCCTCCCACAGGCAGCAGCACACACCCACACCCACACCCACCTGTGCAGGAGTGCGGCCAGCTCCACCAGCAGCACACACCCACCCCCACCACACCCACCTGCGCAGGAGCGCGGCCAGCTCCACCAGCAGCACACACCCACCCCCACCACACCCACCTGCGCAGGAGCGCGGCCAGCTCCACCAGCAGCACACACCCACCCCCACCACACCCACCTGCGCAGGAGCGCGGCCAGCTCCACCAGCAGCACACACCCACCCCCACCACACCCACCTGCGCAGGAGCGCGGCCAGCTCCACCAGCAGCACACACCCACCCCCACCACACCCACCTGCGCAGGAGCGCGGCCAGCTCCACCAGCAGCACACACCCACCCCCACCACACCCACCTGCGCAGGAGCGCGGCCAGCTCCACCAGCAGCACACACCCACCCCCACCACACCCACCTGCGCAGGAGCGCGGCCAGCTCCACCAGCAGCACACACCCACCCCCACCACACCCACCTGCGCAGGAGCGCGGCCAGCTCCACCAGCAGCACACACCCACCCCCACCACACCCACCTGCGCAGGAGCGCGGCCAGCTCCACCAGCAGCACACACCCACCCCCACCACACCCACCTGCGCAGGAGCGCGGCCAGCTCCACCAGCAGCACACACCCACCCCCACCACACCCACCTGCGCAGGAGCGCGGCCAGCTCCACCAGCAGCACACACCCACCCCCACCACACCCACCTGCGCAGGAGCGCGGCCAGCTCCACCAGCAGCACACACCCACCCCCACCACACCCACCTGCGCAGGAGCGCGGCCAGCTCCACCAGCAGCACACACCCACCCCCACCACACCCACCTGCGCAGGAGCGCGGCCAGCTCCACCAGCAGCACACACCCACCCCCACCACACCCACCTGCGCAGGAGCGCGGCCAGCTCCACCAGCAGCACACACCCACCCCCACCACACCCACCTGCGCAGGAGCGCGGCCAGCTCCACCAGCAGCACACACCCACCCCCACCACACCCACCTGCGCAGGAGCGCGGCCAGCTCCACCAGCAGCACACACCCACCCCCACCACACCCACCTGCGCAGGAGCGCGGCCAGCTCCACCAGCAGCACACACCCACCCCCACCACACCCACCTGCGCAGGAGCGCGGCCAGCTCCACCAGCAGCACACACCCACCCCCACCACACCCACCTGCGCAGGAGCGCGGCCAGCTCCACCAGCAGCACACACCCACCCCCACCACACCCACCTGCGCAGGAGCGCGGCCAGCTCCACCAGCAGCACACACCCACCCCCACCACACCCACCTGCGCAGGAGCGCGGCCAGCTCCACCAGCAGCACTTGCTTCGTCTGCAGGCCCAGGTCGGGGGTGATGTACTCGGCCTTGTCCTGGCCCTGGGAGATGATCTGTGCGGGGGTGCGTGTGCTGAGCAGGGCCTGCCCAGATGAGGGCTGGGCAGGGGCGAGGGTATGCTGGGGTGGGCATGTGCATGCACAGCCGTGTAGGGGCGTGGGAACCCGCGTGCATGGCCCGCGTACATGTGCGTCGTGTGCACGGGGGCGCCAGTGGTACCTGCATGATGTCGATGGCCAGCTCACTGTGACAGTGGCCGTCTAGCCTGTGCGGGGCCTCGTCCAGGACCCAGCGTTGTGACTCCATCGCCAGGGCCCGAGCCATCAGCTCCTTCACATTGGCCTGGGAAGGAGAGCAGGGGGTCACGGCTCTGCTGCTCATGTGGAGGTCACTGCCAAACTCACCCCACACCACCTCGGTGACCCCCAGCATTTTCTTGTCACTGCTCCTGGGCCTGGCGCTGGACTCACCACCTCGTTGGACAGGAACGTGGCCTCCAGCAGTCGGGTCTGATTCGGGGGCAGAAGGCTCCCGAGCCTGGCAGCCTGCAGCTCACCTGCCAGCTTGGGGCTGTTGAGGATGTCACTGTGGGCAGAGGGAGGCCATGTGAGGACAACTGCACCTGCCCTGACAGCCCTCACACCAGAGGCACCTGCTTGGCCTGGGCTCTGGCAGGCCCAGACCCCCCTGGTCCCCGTACCCGCCCTGTTCCCCACCTCGGATGCTGGGTCTGCTCCATCTGCTCAGTTCGATTCAGGCAAAAACTTGAGTCACAGCACCTCCCCTGCGCTCTCCTCTCCCCTCTGCTCCTGCACCCAAATTGACTAACCCTGGCCACCCTGGCCCTGCGGGGCTGCCGCCACTGTCCCTGGTGCGCTTGCCCCTCACGAGTCCTCCCCGCCCGGCAGCCAGAGCCACCTTTCAGGTCTGGTCCCTGCGCCAAGGCTTCCCTCTCAAACAAATAAGCCACTCCTTGTCGGCAGCCCTGGGAAGCAGCCAGCTCTCAGGCCTCCACCCTGCTGCCTGGGCATCTCGCTAGCCTTGCCCCCAGCCCCCAGCCCCCCCGTCCCTAGAGGGTGGGCCTGTCTGGGAGGAAGGGCCACCCCACCGCTGCTCCCTGGAAGCACCTCAGCCTGCTCGTACCGCTCTCTGGGGTCCCAGAGCTCCTGGGGACCTGCCCAACCCTGGCACTTTCTTAATGGCCTTTGCCTAATCTGGAGGCTTAGGAATGACCTTTTCTGTGCCCCTCGCTCGACATGGACAGAGCTGTGTCCCCTGCCCCTACACTCCAGCTGCACGGGCATCAGCCGTGCCTTCCCAGGCCCCGGTCCCACCCTAGCTTCAGGATCCTGCTTGGCTCGCCCCACGGAGCTCTGGGCTAGGAGACCCTGAGGCCATCAGCACAGGAAGGGTGTCCAGCAGAGGCGAGAGTGCTTGCCATTTCCTGGTGAGTCCGGATAAGCAATAAGGAAGACCTCCAGTTGGGCTGTCTCCCACCGCCTGGCTAGTTCTCCACGCCTCCCCAACACCCCATAGGCCCTCCCCCTGGCTCTCCTACCAGAGGCCAGCCTGTCAGCACCAGCCAAGCTCACTAGGCACATGGGGTCCTGAGACTCCAGAAGTTGCTCACCCCCTGCCCCAGACTTCCTGCAGCTGACGTCACACTCGGGCTAGGGCAGATGGGCTAAGCCCCTGTAAGAGGTGCCTGGGTGTTCCCACACAGGAGGACAAGGCCCTCCCCACACAGTTGGGGTTCTGGGCTCCCTTCCACATGCCTGCCTCCTCTACCACAGTGCCCCTCCTGCTCTGGCTCACTGCTGTCTGCTTCACCCCTACGGAAAGGAGGGGATCCTGAGTACATGAAAGTCCTGCCATGCCCTGGGCCTGTTTCCCCAACTCCAGGACATGACTGACACCCAGGAAATTAATGCTCCCAAGCGCAAAGCAGACCCAGCCTTGGCCCTGTCCTTCACCCAGGCTCCCTCCCTGCATGCCCAGGCTCTGCCCCTTCGAGGGTTCAGGCCTCACTGGGCTCTCAGAACAAGCCTCCAGGCGCTACCCCTTGACACCCCGCAGAGGCAAGCCCTCCTGCCCCGGGCCGGGCTCACTTTGGGTAGAGGTTCTGCACCCAGACCAGCAGCATGTAGGTGTCCCGCTCGCACAGCTCGAACTGCGCCAAGGCAGCCAGGTGGGCCGCGAAGTGCTGGTGGTAGCGCTGGGCGTAGGTGGCCACGACGTCGAACTCGGCGGGGGAACGCGGCTTTTGCCGGCCCCCCCCCGCCCCCC